AAAAAATGAATGAAAAATATAAAAAACATACAGAGTTCTAACGAAGATATCTAAATCCACACATAGTACTAAACGAAGAGCACTGAACATAGAGAGCAACAACATACAACAGAGCACTAAACCAAGATCACCCAACGGTTACAAAACATTGATGTAAATAATAATAAAAAAAAAATGAAAAATAAAAACTGAAATGAAAAAATAATCCCTCATATCAAAATGAAAAAATAATAAGAGGGAAAGATAAACAATATCATACAAGAAAATCTCTAAATCTCTCACATTGAACAATCAAAATCGAAATAAGAAATAAATAGCAAACAAAAATAGAGATGTAGAATAAGTTTCAAACTTGAATGAAGATTGGAGATCGAAGATCTAAACTTGATGCGAAGGTTCAACAGAAATTGCCTCTAGGGTTCTACTGCTGTGAAATAATGAATGTGGAAAAGATTGAGGAAAAAGATATTAAATAGTAGAGGGTCAAAAATATAATTTTACTATGTAATCCCATATGATGAGTTATCTTAGGTTTTGTGTCTCACAACCCCATGGGACAGAACAATTCAATATATTTGAGATTAATAATTCGGTCCAAAATTTTTGATCCAAACAACGGACTATTCCATGCTTAAAGATCACTTATGAGGAATTAAAAATATCTCACTTTTATTAGAAGTGTGATTACAAAAATTAGAATAATATTTTAATCACAATTAATCTAATTGAGTGAGATAGTATTTATTTTTAATTTTACCTTCCAAATAAGTGTGATTGTATATATATTTTGAGTTTTATTTTTATATCTCCATAATTAAACAACATTAGTGTGTATCTTTGTAAGATGAGCAATGCTTGGTAGCCCGAAAAGGAGGTTGGCTCGAATGACTCGAAATTCACTTTGCTGGTCGTCTGGGCGGACGTTTGGCCGGTCGTCTGGGTGGACGTCTGGCGAGGAGGCTGACAGCCGTGGTTGACAAAGGTGACATCCGCGGAAGACAAGTTTTCACCCGGTCTTCGAGCTCCTCTTTTTCGAGCTACCAAGCATTAATCTTGTAAGATCAATCCATCATAGATTAATGGGTGGATTAACTTGACCTATGTTTACAATTTGTGCCCCACCTCATATCTCTCTCTCTCTCACTTCTCCACCACAACCATAGTAGCAACTTTGCCTCTTCCTTAGCGACCCTTCGTCTACATCTCGATCGCAACAACTGCGGTAACCCCACGCCCCATCTCGAACGTTGATTGCGAAGGGTGAACACATTTATTTATTTGTTATCTATGATTTTACCGAATTTGTCATCTATGATTGAATCTCCAAATTTAGAATGAGAACCGCATGATTTTACCTAATTTGTCATCTATGATTGAATCTTCAAATTCATAGAAAAACTATTGTTCTCATAGAGATAATTCTAGCCATGTTGTTTCAAGAGATTATGTTGATTAGGTTATACTGCTCTTTCTCTTTTGGTCTACAAAAGATGCTGATGCTGATGTGTTTTTATCTTTATTAATTAATCTTTTGTGATTACATCATTATTGTTGAATAATTCATCACATCATTATTGCAACACATTGGTTATGATGAGCAAAGGCCTAAACTGCTATAGTGATAATGAAAGTTACTAAAAAGTTCATTGTGATTTTTAGTTGGGAATGCACATTTTGAAACATCGTAGATTTGTATTCTAATTCCTTAAATTTAGTGATTAAAAAAAAAAAAAAATTGCCCCATTTCTTTCCTCACTCAATTCTTTTTAAAAAAGGATTTATGCAAGTAATTGATTGATAATAAAATTCAATTGACTACTCATATAAAATTCATAACGAGCAGATTGAGGGAAGGCCTATAACATATCAAATATTAAACTTTCTCAGGGAAAATTTTGGGATTCATCCATTAAACTTACTCGGGAAACATATTGGGATTCAAACACAACTTATTCAGGAAAGGCTCGTATCATTTCAAAGAGTGAACTTGAATCCCAATATGTGCTCTATATTGCTGCTTCCTAGCTATTTTTCATGTAGTGTAGCTGCAGTAATATTAAATGTTTCAGTAGTCTTTACTGAGCGTATAGTTCATTAACTTTTTTTCATTATTTTTTACCGTTGTAGGAAGATAAGGCTGATGCTATTTCCCATATGAACACCATTGTCAATTCAACCAAAGGAGATCCTATTTTGGTTAGTTTTCTCTTTTGCCTTGTCATGAGTGCTATCTATTGATATTTTGCTTATAACTTAATCTATTTAACTGCCACTAATGTGAATAATGCTGATGTTCGAGCATTAACATCTTAAACTAAGTTTGGCTTAGTATTTATTTTGTAGGGTATTGTTGATTTTGAGTTGTGATAGCCTTAACACATTATTGTCTTGTTCTTCATATGGTTAAGAATTAGTAGCTATTGATTTAACTGTCATTTTTTTTCTTTGTTTTGGAATCATCCAGGAAATTGATCTTCAGGAGCCCTCTTTACTTTTCTCCTTGCGGGATTCCTCTTTTTGTTTCTTTGTCAAAGGGATTTTTTTTTTTTTTTGTATCCATTTATTTTTTTGGGGTAGGTGGGATATAATGGTGTTGATTTTGGAGTTCTTTATCTAATTAGGCTTATATGATTGCCACATCTATATTTTTCATTTGTCCACAGCTTCTAAGTTGAATGTATAATGTATCATTAAATTTTTTTCCTGTTAACCGGCTTATTCTTTTTTTCTTTTTCTTTTTTTTTTTGGTTTTGGTATTATACCATATTGCATTTATATATGTTTTCCTTGAGTTGCTTACAATTTCTGCTAATTATTTTTTGTGCTTGTTATAAGAATTTCAAGTTCTGTTCCCTACTCTTTGTATTATACCATATTGCATCTATATATGTTTCTTTTTCCCCTATTAAGTGGCCTATTCTTAATTAAGTATTTTCATTTTTTTAATGAGATTTTTATTGTGTAATCACATTTAAAAACCTTTTTTTCCTGAACTTTCTTTGTATATATTTTTCCAATATTAGGCTTTCATTTATGAAATATATGATGTTATTAGCTATTCATATGTGGTCCATGTTGTGATTCAAATGAAGTTTTTGTACAAATAATATTGATTATATTTTAGATATTAGTTTTGTTTAGATTTTAATCACTATTGATATGTTGTGATTGGTAGTCACATTTTGTGGTTGAACATTTTTTTTTAATCACATGCATTAATCGTGATGAGAAATGTATATAACTGTGGTCCTATCTCATTATTAATCATGGATTCTTTAAATTCAATCTCAAGCTTTATTAGTTATTGATCATATTTAAAGTTCGTGATCTAAATGTTTATTATCACGGTCAAAACACGTGATGAAATTATCTTTTTAATGACGGTCAAGAAGTATGATCGAAAATGACCCTGAACAATCACACTATCAAAGATCACACTTTAACAAAATAAAAAATCCGTGATTAAATAATATGCATCACACTTAAAATCAACGATCTATTTATGATTTTGTAGTAGTAATCCATTGGACATGAATCTTATCCCATGGTTGAATCCCTCCAAACAAACATGTTCTAAACGGATGTGAGACAGAAATTGTGGAATTATAATCCCATGGGATTAAGCTGTAAAATAATACATTTTCCCTCCAAGTATTTGATTTAATTATATATTGTATTTAGTAAAATAAAATAAAATAAAATATAAAAATCTCAATTAAAAAAAAAAAATTTATTTAATTTTTATTGATGTTTATTTATTTAATTTATTTAATAAATTTGTATAGATGTTTTATTTTAAATTTTTGTTGATATTTTATTTAATTTAATTATTTAATTTTATTCATTTTCTTATATTTAATTTCATTATTTAATATTTATTTTTTTAAAAATAAATTTATTTAAAATTGTATTTTAAAAATAACATTAAAAAAATAAATTTATTTAATTTTTAAAAAATAAAATAAATAAAATTTCATATAATCTAGCCAAAAAAAAAAAAAAATATTAAAGACATATTTAGTATTTCTATTACTTAATAAACCATTAAAAAAATAAAATAATTTATTAAACATTTATCTTTATTCATAATATTTCAATCAAACTTTGAATTTAATAAGATAATCTTTTTCTAGACATCTAATTTCATAAAAAAATAAGGGAGACTTATTTATAAGTCATTTTTCAGACACTTATGGTAGGATAAGTCTTGTTTAGTTTCTTATAGAGTTTCAAGTCCTGTTTAGATATGAATGTATTCTATAAGATCTTACATAAATATAACGTGACGTGACACTTACATAAGCATAACGTAACGTGTCACCTACATAAACGTAACGTAACGTGTCACGTTACGTTTCGCAAACTTAATGAATTTTTATTTTTTTAAATTGAATGTGAAAATGTTGCTGGTTTATGTTGGTGTCACGTTATGTTTTATATAATATGATCTATAAATTGAATGTTGCCATAAACCATAGGTGTCACGTTACGTTTATATTGGTGTTACGTTTATGTAAATATAATCTATGGCAACATTCAATTTCCTACATAGATTATAGGTGTCACGTTACGTTACGTTTATGTAAATATGATCTATGGCAACATACAATTTCTTATATAGGAAATTGCATGTTACCATAAATCATAGGTGTCGCGTTACGTTTATATAGGTGTCACGTTACGTATAGGTGTCATGCTACATTTATATAGATATGATCTATACTAACATTCAATTTCCTATATATGGTTTTACTATTATTTATGATATTAACGACTAATATTGAGGGTAAATGTGTCAACAAACTACCCACAGAACCTATGGGTACATAAATTTTTTTGTAGGACCATATATAACATATAAGGCTCCCTAATAAAACTTATAAATAATTTTTCAAAAAAATAAACATAAAACACATCATTTCCAATAGTTGAGAATATATATCTAACATATCTACCCAGTCCAAACAAACACGGCCTTCGATACATGTTAACAAAACTACCCCTTTTTCCTAGTGTTCCTAGCCTAATTTATTTTCGTTACACCCATGACCTAGCTCCCTTTCACTCTGGACATTGCTCTCTCTGTCGCTTTCTCGCTCGCCATGATCGTCTGAAGAACTCCAGTGGTTTGAACCTCTCTCTTCTCTCTCTCTCTCTCTCAGGTTGCTTACTGCGATTTTATCAATTGAGAGGGAAAAGAGGATAATTGAATCTCAAGAGATTGCCGACTCTCATCTATGATTTTCTCTGTCGATTTCACTAATCTTCAATCATTTTCTGCAAAATGCAGGTCCCATCGATTCCAACCTGTTAGGGTTTTGGTTGGAGTTCTTTGAAAATCGCTAAAAGTAACGGTTGAGGATTGTAGGGGTTTTGTACAACTTGTGCTGTTTATTTTTGTTGCTCGATTTGGTTTCACAGTTTCTTTCCATACAAACTTCAGGGAGTATTTTCAGCTTGCAAACAAATCAGGTAATACTTCTGTTCTTTACTGAAAGCTCTCTCTGCTACTTTTTTTTTCTTTCTTCCTTCTTCTTTTGGTTGTCTCTTTGGTTGATGTTCACACCATTTCTACATTCGTTTAGTATTGATGGATAATATAGTATGTCGGTGAGTGGCAATTGCAAGTTATCCCTTCATAATTTTATTAATAATTAGTAATATCATGTGATAGTGATAATATAGTATCACTGTTATGTTGAATTTTCACTCGATTGCGATCCAATGCTAGAGAGTATTGTGTTGTATGGCCCATGGAACTTCTTAAGCTGATTGGAAAACTGATTAGCATTTTCCACAAGAATTGTTGAAGAGCAGCTGCAAATCAAATAGTAAAACCATGACATTAACAGGCTTAATTATCATACTCCGTTAAATTAAATACAAAAATATTTCGTAAAAGATAAAGAAATGTGACTTGATAGGAAAATGAGGGAAAAAGGGTGTCTTGTTTAGATAAAGAAGCATCTTGCTATTGAACACATCTGTTTAAAATTTGGTTCCTTTTGTGCATTTTGCTCCTGTTAGAATCAGACCTAAATTGCCAGAAAGTAGAGGAATAGGCTTATTAATCAGGATTTATGGTAGCCCGTCCAGATTCCACTATAAAATACAATTTGCCATTGTAAATTTGTCTAAAATAAAAAATAAAGAGATAATATAGGATCGTACACTAAAAGGCTTGGGAGTCAATATAATCTGGTAAAAACATAAATTGGTTCCAATCTGACACGAAATTTATATCGATAAATAAGATATTTTAAAAAGATTTTGCTAATAAATTCTATTAAATCTTGTTTATACATATGTATTTTTTTTATGTAATCGATTTCTGTATTAATAACATAATTGTATTCACAATGCTCAATCTTGGACTCAATAACTTTGTTTGTATGATTTTGTTTTGCTTTAAATCGCTCCCTTTAGAATGATTCAATACAGTAGTGACACTGAATGCAATGCAACATAAATTCCATGCATTGAGAAGAAATTTTAGTAGAGGGCATCAAACGAATCATATTTTAATCATATTGGGTGGTCCTGCAATGGGAGAGAGTAGGTTAGGACAGTGAGTACAACTTAAAAAGGTTGTGAATTTCACAATATTTAATTTTCAGTGATGCTTGGCAAATTTAGGACTCCCCTTGCCTAAGTGGGTGTGCTACTGAGACACATCTAAACTAGTTAATGCGTTCAATTTATTTGATATACTAGCATAGCAAAGCAATTTCCCTTAGTAGAATAAACATTATTAAATTGCTATCTTAATTTAAAGGGTTTATTACACATTCTACCCCTAAACTATTGCCTAATATTTTGTAATACAAAAGTTATGGGATCCTAAATTATTCTCATATTTCAACACTTCCCCTCAAGGTAAAAAAAAATAGCACCCAATTAGTACAAATTAGTGTGTGTTTGGGAGGAGAAAGATTGGGAAAACACCAAACCTTTGGCATAGTGCACAAAGTGGTGGCCTCATGATGGACCAACGGATTTGGTGAACATATTAGCTAACTACTCAGATGAATGGACTTAGATGTTGAATATAAGATGTATGTAATTAGACAACCTCATGTATTGAATGGCATTGACACATATATACACATACACACACACACACATATATATATATATATATATATAAGAGGCCTTTTGATTGTATTTAATATTGTCTTTTCTTTATCATTTATTATTATTTCTTGTGGGTCGGATTTTGTAAATTCGGAGTGTGACAACATTTGTGGTGTTAACTCTAAGGGGTTGACCTGGTGGCAAGGTCTTGGGTCTTCGGGGTGTGCTCCCTCCAAAGTTTAGGATTGAAACCTCTTAGGTGCTAAAAATTCCTTAGGGTCATTGGATTGGAGAAAATCCTTGAATTAACCATGGTGCACTTACAGGCAAGGCTTGTGTACCATGGGGATTAGTTGCGTTTTGATCTAGACGCCCCAGTGCCAATCAAAAAAAAAATATTTGTGGTGTGGATTACCATAAATGTCATAATTAGATCATTTTCAGTTGTAACTTGAGAAAAAAAGAAGTCATAACTAAACATCACATAAGGCACAATCAAAGACTTTTTGAATCATAACCAAAATAATATCATAAACCCCAAGGGGTTGGCCTGGTGGCACGGCCTTAGGTCAGGGGGTGTGCTCCCTCCAAGGTTTAGGGATCAAAACCTTTAGGTGCTAATAATTTCTTGGAGACATCGGATTGGGGGAAAGCCTTTGAATTAATTGTGGTGCACTTGCAAAAAGCTCTTTGCCAAGGGCTTGTGCACGCTTGGGGATTAGTCGGGTTTTGATTCGAACACCCCAGTGCCAATAAAAAAAATGTCATAATTGACATTACAATGAGTCATAACTAACATTACAATGAGTCATAACTAACACCACAATAAGTCGTAATCAAAGACCAGAAAATTCATAATTGGGGTATATGGGAGTTGTGTATCATAGAATTTCCCATACTATTTTTTTGATCGGCAAAGTAAAAATTTGATTGAAAATATAAAATTAAAGGTACAAGGAAAAAAAATGCGTTGAGAGAGATTTAAAGGGTGCAAACTCTCCTACTATTGCAACTTGCATCATTTTTACAACTGACCCCTCAGACTCACTTTTTTTTTTTTAAATATTTTTTTTATTCTTTTTTAAATAAGAGGCGAAAAAAAAAAAAAGATTAAAAAGGTCTAAACTACAAACCAAACACTTGAACCCCACACTCGACAACATCCATGCCACACTGAAACATTTCCTAGGCCTGCACACATCTCAAACAACTCTACACGCCTGTATCCCACGCTTGTTCGTTCCCAAGCACTAATCCACGACCAAACCATGCCGCATGCGTCCATGCAAGAGAAGACCACGCTGCTCCCGTTTTCCGACTGCTGAAGCTCCATATTTGCCCCTTGTGTCACTCCTCCTAGCATTGCACAACCACCATCTGCAGTCCACTTACGTGCTCCAACCAACTCCATTCACTCTGAACAACTCCATTCACTCCGACCACCGTCCACCATTCACCCACCCAATCCAACTAACACCCGTAGGGAACTCGAACCAACACCCAACCTGAGACCACCTCTGCAACAACCAACACCTAAGAGAGCACCCAAACAACACCCACCTGCCGAACACCCACCGCGAGCACCCAACACCGAACACCCTACTACTTATTCATTGCCGAACAAGCCGTCACCGAACACCGTGCTCCATCGTCAATCAATCCCGCTGCTCCTATAGCACCCAAACAGTGGCGAAACTAGTGTCCCACATTGATTTGAAACCGCCTTTGAAGACCACATCTCCCCTTCCTTCATTACCACTTCTATATCGATCATCACCCATCGAACCCCCATAGCTGAAGAAAATGCCCATACTCGAGCACCAAACACCTCCAAATGGACACCCAACATGCTTTGAGACCACCGGAAATGATAGATCTGATACCACCCAAGAAACGCCCAACCAAAAACCCGTAAGAATGCCCATAAATGAGCACCGAACACTAAAACTAAAGAAGTAAATTAACCTAAGCAAACTAGAGATTAGATCTGAAAAGGAGGGGGTGGAAAATTGTGGGGGGTTCTAGTTTATTAAGAGGGAAAAGCACTCACACACAAAAGAGGTAGCTAGGCCAGCTGACCGCCATGGCCATTGGCGGCAGCTGGCTGGCCAGCGGTGAGGCCCGAGGTGGAGGTTTTTAGAGAGAGAATTTAGAGAGAGGATGGAAAGTGCAGTCCCATATTAGTTTTGGTTATGAATTTTTGTATTATTTGATTATAAAAGAAAGTAACTTTAATTAAAAGATTAGGTGATATTTTCTTGTGAATCAAAGTAATTTTGGTGATAACATTTTTGTGATGCTTTACTTTCTTTTCTTTATTCATGTGTATTTATCGATTTCTCGCATGCATACATGTATATTTTGATTAACTCACATAAGTTAATTGAAATATAAGCATATATCCTTAGATCCCCCTTTCAAAAATCATCGCCTTAATTGAAATATAAAACGATGATTCTTGAATTGTCCAATTTTGGACAGTTTGGGAGTGCATAATCTATATCGTAGTTAGAGGCTCACCGCTTTATATTGTTTTCTCTGAGGAAGATTTCGTGCGGCAAATCCGCTTGTTCTCCAGGTGCATACATGATGTGGTGTATTGCTAGCGATAAATATACACCATATTTATGTCGTGTACTTGGAGAATTATGTGGATATGTTGCTGAAATTTCCTTAGGGTTGGACATAGTGGAATGAGTTGTTTTATGCAATATACATTGTGTTTTCCTGAATGAGATAGGACCACCTACTTATTCAAGTGAAGTTGGATGGATAGGTATCACTACGCATGAACATTTAGGAATTATTTAGAGTTGTTGTGATGGTTAATTAATATGCATATTAATGTGTACAAAAGATATATTTGAGAGAAGTAGAGAGAATGGATAAGAGTTGGATTGATTTGTCAAATAGGATTTCGAAGGAATATGTGAATGGGATCAATCAATTTCTTGTATGTGCATACACTAGTAGGGCTGAAGGTTCAACAATTAGTTGTTCGTGTAGGCCATAACAATTAATGGATTCGAAGGCTGAGAACATGTCAAGTCGTGAAGAAAAGTTGAGAATAAGTGTAACGATGCCATTTTAGTTGTTTAAAGTATTTCTATTCTAAAACGACGTCATTTTATGGTTAACGATGTCTAACAATAGGTTTCTCTTCATTTTTCTCTTTTCTCTTGACCGACCTTGTCACGACCCCATCCACCCCAAACAAAGATAGGGTAGTGACTTGCCAGTAGCCGTAGGCTACCAAAGGCCCAACTATACAATTCTATAGTACTCCTAAAGATGATTGGGTTAAAATCATTATAAATAGCGGGAAGTCTTTAAAATTCTTTAACCTGTTTAATTTCACAACATCCATTCAGAGCAAGTGTGTAGATAGATGAAATGAACACAAACTGTTGCTTTATTTATTATTACAACCTTCACAACGGAGTACAACTTAAAATAAAGTTACTGTACATCTCAGTTGCCAAACTACCTATACACAGAGTCATCACAAAACGTTTCTCCTAAAGAGAAGGCAAGGCATGTAAGTCCTTCACGTCGTATACACAAATATACAAAGCTGGCACAATCTTTATTCACTTTTGTCACCTACATATATATATAGGGAGGAGGGGTGATGTTTTGATTAACTCACATAAGTTAATTGAAATATAAGCATATATCCTTAGATCCCCCTTTCAAAAATCATCGTCTTAATTGAAATATAAGACGATGATTCTTGAATTGTTCAATTTCGGACAATTTGGGAATGCATAATCTATATCGTTGTTAGTGGCTCACCGCTTTTTATTGTTCTCTCCGAAGAAGATTTTGTGTAGCAGATCCTCTTGTTCTCCAGGTGCATACATGATGTGGTGTATTGCTAGCGATACACCATATTTATGTCGTGTACTTGGAGAACTATGCGGATATGTTTTCAGAATTTCCTTAGGGTTGGACAAAGTGGAATGAGTTGTTTTCTGCGATATAGATTGTGTTTTTTTGAATGAGATAGGACCACCTACCTATTAGAGTAATGGATAGGTATCACTATGCATGAACATTTAGGAATTATTTAGAGTTGTTGTGATGGTTAATTAATATGCATATTAATGTGTACAAAAGATATATTTGAGAGAAGTAGAGAGAATGGATAAGAGTTGGATTGATTTGTCAAATAGGATGTCGAAGGAATATGTGAATGGGATCAATCAATTTCTTGTATTTGCATACACTAGTAGGGCTGGAGGTTCAATAATTAGTTGTTCGTGTAGGCCATAACAATTAATGGATTCGAAGGCTGAGAACATGTCATGTCGTGAAGAAAAGTTGAGAATAAGTGTAACGATGCCATTTTAGTTGTTTAAAGTATTTCTATTCTAAAACGACGTCATTTTATGGTTAACGATGTCTAACAATAGGTTTCTCTTCATTTTTCTCTTTTCTCTTGACCGACCTTGTCACGACCCCATCCACCCCAAACAAAGATAGGGTAGTGACTTGCCAGTAGCCGTAGGCTACCAAAGGCCCAACTATACAATTCTATAGTACTCCTAAAGATTATTGGGGTAAAATCATTATAAATAGCGGGAAGTCTTTAAAATTCTTTAACCTGTTTAATTTCACAACATCCATTCAGAGCAAGTGCATAGATAGATGAAATGAACACAAACTGTTGCTTTATTTATTGTTACAACCTTCACTTAGCCACAACGGAGTACAACTTAAAATAAAGTTACTGTACATCTCAGTTGCCAAACTACCTATACACAGAGTCATCACAAAACGTTTCTCCTAAAGAGAAGGCAAGACATGTAAGTCCTTCACGTCGTATGCACAAATATACAAAGATGGCACAATCTTTATTCACTTTTGTCACCTACATATATATATAGGGAGGAGGGGTGATGAAGATCATGGAAAGAAGAAAAAAAGCAAATCTGAAATTTCACATAAAGCATATTTAGGGCATCAAGAATTAAAGATTTAGAATCATTTTAAGTCTTCATGTCATTATAGTAGGTTTTAGTAATTAAGGGTATAATGGTAATTCCAATAATTGTTGGACATGGGTTGTAGGGGTCACCCATGGGTTTTATTTTGGGTCAAGTTATTAAATGGGTTATTATATATGGGTTTTATTGTGTCTAAAATAATCTTAGTGGTCAAAAGTCCAAGTTTTCTATTTTGATATTGAAGTAGAATTTTAAGTCATTAAAGTTTCTTATTATGATTGAAGTGGAATCGGAAGTCATAGTTGATCTAGAACATTAGTAGTTGCTAAATATTTTTGGTTTCTAAATTTGAGAAATAGTCCTTATAGAATTAGGAGAGTCTTTAGCCTATAAATATATGTGTAATCTCAATGATTCAAGAGTAGAGCTAATATTATGAAAATTTGAGATTGTGTTTGTGTAATTGGCCTATCCCTTGCGAGGGTGAAACACCTATCTCTCTCTCTTTTTCTTCTTCTTCTATCCCGCAAGGTTACTGTTCACGTCACTGTTCACAGTGCTTAGAACAACCACCCAATTGTCTCTAAACACTTGTGTTTTCATTCCCCAAATCCTACCTTTTTACAAATCCTTAAACTCCTATTTTTAAATACTTTTGCAGCCACAAAATCCCACAAAATCTAGCCCTATAAGTCTATTGTTGCTGGTGCCAGTATATTTAAACTGGGCTCACTACTTGTAGGAAAGTAATCCCTATTCGTCCTACATCAAGGGGTGAACCAAAGCCCAATCAATAACATTTAATCAAAGGTGTAAAATAACAGATATCAACATTTGTACGATAAAAAGCATAGTTGAACTGAGAGTTAAACAGTTTGAGAAAAAAATAGTCATATGCATTTTATTTCAAAACAATGATAATGAACATCCGAGTCGGTACTAACAAATGGAATAATCGGGTCGACTCTGGTTTTCAAGCCCACCCATGGGTGGCATTGGAGATCTCAAACAGCTGCTACTTGTATATTTTCTGTCCCCTAATAGGTAGGACTAACCGAGGACGCCATGTATGTATTCTCTTCAATGTAATCATAGGATATCCATTAGTTTGAGACATTTCAATACAATTTGGATCAAATAAGGTTTAAGCATTAAAAATAGACGGTCAAATTAATTTTGAAGAGTTATACTTCTCAAATAATTAAGGGTTTCCTAACTCAAGCCTAAATTCAAATAAAATAACTTTCTAAACCTAAGTTCTTTGATTCTTTCCAAAAAATCATATCCAAACAAAATCAACCAATTAAAAAATAATGAATAGGGTAGAAAAATGAATTTTACCTCAATTCAAGCTTAAGAACAATTCTAAGTCAAGAATTCCCCCTTTCTCCCTCTTCTTCTCTTCTCTTTTTTCCTTGCTTTTCCAGCAGATTTTCTCTCTTCTTTTGTTTTTGAAGCAGAGACACTTGTCTTTACAATAGTTATATATATATATCTAATATAAAGTGGAGGTGGCAATACCAATTGAGGTGTGTCACACTTGTCTCTACTAATTGCACCACTAGATTAATTTAGATTAACACTAATTAAGCTATGTTAGTACTAATTAATCAAGTTTAGGCCACTAATCACGTGTAACTTAATCAATCATGTCTAAGATTAATTGCACTAATCACGCTTAATTACCACTAATCCCAATTAAATTTTCACATAATATACGAAAGTATCTAATACATTAGACCAATACAATTAAGCACCTTGATTAAGGATTCAAGAGTACATGAGCATACTATGTTCAAAAAGGAAACTTTCTAGATTTCATACCCTTAAACTTCAATTTATTTCCTATCAAAGCATATTTCAAAGTACTTCAAAATATCAAAGGTGCTAACTAATGCAACTCAAGCACTTAAACATAGAATAAATTATGCATATGTCACGCAAGAACATTAGAGGTGTTACAGACCTCATCTGCCTCATCTCTCAAAATTCTCTATTGAAGTAGAAGAAAACCCAATACTCACTCTGTCTAGCAGTGTTTCAAAATGTAGTGTTATGTAATGGTTGCGGCTGTTATGTAACGGTTGTGGCGGTAGGCACGACGTGTTACCTTCGCTTTTGCATTGTAATTGAGATTCATAGGTGTGTCGGCCGTAGAGGTTGCAATGGTGCCGTAACGGCCTGTTACACAATGTTCTGAGCTGATTCTTAAAGAAAAACAAATCAAAAAGCTGAAGAAATATATATTAAACAAATTTTGTACATACCTTTATGATTGATTGGATGGTAGTCTACAAAACTTGAGTTCTTTTCAAATTGTAAACCCGTGAACTACTTTGAAGTGAGATTTTTCAGACCCATAATCTTCAGATCAGATCCACAGCCTTTAGAGCCTTTAAAAACTCTCCAATTGAGATTCAGATCTTTAGATCCACTGATTTTGAACCATCTTCAACTGAGTTTCTGATTAAAAAAAAAATAAAATTGGTTCACAGGAAGAGGGATAGAGAGAGAAAAGGGAAGATGGAGGAGTGAGAGATAGAGAAAGAGAAGAGGGAAGGTGAAGAACCTATGTTGAAGAAGATGTTGTCTTTGAATCTTGCAGAGGGAAGATGATGTTGTCAATCTAATCTACTGAGAGTAAGACCCAAGTTCTATTTGGCTGCCTCTTGAAAAGTTCTTTATTATTGTTTTGTTTTGTTTGCTTGCCAAATATATAGCAACTTTTGATTTAAAAAAAATAAATATATTTAGGCTCTTATTTCTAGTATCTTATATATAAATAGTTAGTGATTGATTTTTTTTTATTTTTAAAATATCTAAAAAACATAACACCTATAATTATATTAATACATTTTATACATGTCAGTTTTTATTGATTAATTTATTTTGTTTTTATTTATAGGTTATTCAAAAAGATAACGAATATTCAAGTGATTCAAGTTCCAAAAAAAACCATGTATGGATTTTTTTTCTTTATAATTTTTTTTTTTAATTTTTATATGATTACATTAGCATGTAAAATAAAAATGTATAAATAGTGGTTGCATTTTTTTTTTTATAATCATTTCATTTAATATTTAATTGTAAATGTTTTTTATTTTGTTATTGTAATGTGTTGTGACAATAATTTTTATGGGTATTTTTTTTTTAAAAAAATCAACAGCTCAAATTTTTTTTTTCTTTATAATTTATTTTTTAATTTTTATATGATTGCATTAGCATGTAAAATCCAAATGTATAAATAGTGGTTACATTAGAATTTTTTTTCCACAAGTGTAATATGGATTTATGACATATAAAGTCATTAATTATTGAAATAAAATGTAAAAAAACTCATTTTATAGTGATTTAAAAATATGAAATATATTGGATCATATTTTGAAATTGACAAAAATTTATTTTAAAACCCAATGAATATGATTCTGGAAAAAAAATGTGTATCGGTAAGTTTTTTTCAAATTGTGCGAAAAATAAAAAAATTCACGGTTTTGGTTACCCCAACTGTTATGCTATGCCCTTTACACCCGGCAACCGCAACCACGCCACTGCCACCGTTACTGTAACTGCTCTTCAGAACCTTGCTATCTAGTCTCCCGCTGTTTCTTGGACAGGGATTTCTCTAAGATCCCAGAACACCCCTCATCATCGTAGATTGCCTATGGTTGATTCGATTATGGTTTTGTTTGTCCGAATCCATATATTTACAATCTACAAAACCGTGGTGGGTCTGAAAAATATTGTTTTAATTATTCAAAAATAAAAATAAAAATTAGGGTTATGATTTTCCAAAAAAAGGGTATGCTTTGATTGACAGCATGGAAATTAATTAATTAATTTTTTGTTCGATTAATTATTATCAGTCCTTTTTGTTTAGTTCATGTTGTGATTTATTTGTATGTTTTTATTTAAAAAATTATTAAATCAGAGTACAATTTGCTTAACATCTCTAGGATAAAATTTTTGGTGATCCCTGTGATGTTTTTTTACTTTGTAGGTTGTCTTTTGCTTTGTGTAATTGTGATGATCTTCATTCAAACGGGGGGTTTGATGATAACGTTTGTGAAACCTGATAGTAAGGGAAATGATATTTCATGACATAATTTACGATTGATTTATTAGCAATTTTTGAAAATTAATTGTTTTGTGGAATTTCATGTTTGATGGGTTTCCTTCATTGCAAGGGGAGCAGGGAGACAATGATGATAAAGAAAAGAAACCATTGTAGGTAATAATATATTATTATAGATGAAGTTGACAAGCAAAGGTTTGTTCTCAATACTAAGATACAAGTCCCCAGTGTATGAGCCAACCAATCTTCTCTATAAGCAGCAATGTCGAACCATAGTGAAAGTCCGTTTGAAATGGGTGAAGAACCGAACCCTAGACCATATCATTGACACCCACACCGACCTCAAGGCTGCTTTCCTCATCAGGGATGCCATCAATCGCTCCTCCACATCCTACATCACCTCCAAGTCCATCTCCGAATGGCAAAAGCTCCTTGGCCTCACTGTCCCCACCCTTCGCTTCATTCGCCGTTACCCAACTCTATTTGAAGAGTTCCCTCACCCCAAGTACCCTAGCTTACCCTGTTTTCGCCTCACTCATATTGCTACAACTTTGCACAATCAAGAGCTGATTCTTTACCAGACCCATGAATCTGATATTGTCCAACGCCTTTGTCGGCTTCTCATGATGACCAAGAACAAAATGATTCCTCTTCAATCACTTCATCCTTTGAAATGGGACCTGGGTTTGCCTGATGATTTTGATAGAAACCTAGTTAACAAGTATCCGGATCAATTTCAAGTTGTTAAAGGGTCGAATGGGTTGCTGTCTCTTAAACTCGAGCAATGGCACGAAGATTTTGCCGTTTCTGAGTTGCAGAAGAGTAATGAGAATGGTGGTAAATTGGGCAGCAGTAGCAGTAGTGGTGAGTATAGGCAATTTAAGAGGGGGCAAACTGCATTGGTGTTCCCAATGAGTTTTCCGAGGGGTTATGGAGCACAAAAAAAAGTGAGGGCATGGATGGAGGAGTTTCAGAAGTTGCCATACATTTCTCCATACGATGACTCTAGTAGAATTGACCCCAATAGCGAGCTTATGGAGAAGAGGGTTGTTGGGGTTTTACATGAGTTTTTGAGCTTGACCATGTATAAGAAGACTAAGAGGAACTACTTGAGAAGCTTGAGAGAGGAGTTGAATCTTCCTCACAAGTTTACACGAATCTTTACAAGGTATCCAGGGATATTCTACCTCTCGTTGAAGTGCAAGACAACCACTGTGGCACTAAAAGAAGGTTACCGGCGTGGAAGATTAGTGGACCCTCATCCGCTTGTACGTTCAAGAGAGAAGTTTTATTATGTAATGAGGACTGGGTTGATTTATCGGAATAAAGGTTTCGATTTGATACCTCAGCTTGACAATTTGGCTAATGATGGGGTGGATGGGATGGAACAAGAAGAGTCCGAGGAAGAAGAGTTTGAAACCGTGGATGAATGCTATGAAGAGGAAACTTCAGGGGTTGAAGTGGATTCTGATGAAGATTAGTGTTCTATCCAACAAAGAATGGCTGTCCTGAAAAATGGAATAGAGTTTCACCTTTGGAGGTAAGGAAATATTTTTAAATAGAAGTGAACTTTACGGATTGTTTTCCTATCTAAAAATCAGAGTGAGTATACATATCTTATTTTCCAGAGCTATGCAAAGGCTAAGTATGTTTTTTATTTGTTACTGTTGATTCTATAGAATTCAATGTTAAGCCTTAAGGAGTTGAGGTATAAGCATTTCAGATTTTTATTTTTTTATATTTAGTAAATAAATTATATATTTCAAAATAAAAAAAAAAATATTAAAAATTAAACATAAATGTGAATACTTTTATCGTCAAGGTGTCGAACATTTCACTGTAGAGAAGGAAGCTTCTCCTCATCAAAAGTGAAATCAACATTCTTAGCTTCAATTATCAAGCTTCTCACTTAAGCCTTAACTTTGTGTTTTTTCTTGATTGATCATTTATTTGATTTTTCTTATGGAATATAGTTGCAAAAAAGGTTTTTTTTTTTTATGTTTAAATCTTATATTGGACTAAGTTTGACAAGAGCCCAAGATAAGCTCTATATATTCGTACTTCTCATATGTTTATGTGCAAAGGTGTACAAGGTTCATCTGAAGTGCACATCTCAAACTGTGATTTGTTTATTTGACCGTTTGCTTTCAATTGTTAGTTGCAATTGTTGATTCCATATATGTTAGCAATTTGATAGAATTGAGTGAAATAAAGAGCCTTCCTCTGAAGTTTTTTGGAATTTTGAGCAAGCAATTTGGAACAATTTAAACTAAAAATTAGGCATTGTTGGTTCTATGGAGTGTTTCTTGAATTGGGTTTGAGGATGATTGCTTTGTTTGAAGGTTTTGGTATTGTATTAGATTCATAAGTTGTTTAATATGCATGATGCTCGATTGTTGTTATCCATTTTAGACTACCCTTTGATGTATTAGGCGCTATACAATACTTGAATGGCAAACTGTTTACATGTCATGTTCCGGGTCTCGGACTTGACGTGAGCATGTCTTCGGACTTGTTGTTTTCCTTTTCGGAGCCTTGAGTGCCTTGTGTTACGTCGGTGTTTGAGAATTGAACCTGGTTTAACCTTCTAGATGTTTGTGCGATTTAAAATTGAGTTTCGGATGTAAGAACAAAACCAGGGAGTGGAAACACCTTAAGAAAATTTTTGGCATAACAAGTGTTCCTGCACATGCAGCCAGGAGGGCCTGCACGTGTGGATTAGTGCAGCGGAAGAAGTGGGTTGCTGGGCATGGGCTTGGTCCCACACATGCGGGGGCTGGGGCCATACGTGCAGAATGAGGACCACATGTGTGGGGAAGTTGGGCCGCACACGCGGCTTGGGTGAGAAGCTGAGTTTTGGGACTGCAGTTGATTGCATGTGTGGAGGGGGTTCCAGCACTTGCGGAAGGGGGCCCACACGTGCGTCCAGACGTGTGAACTTCTCAATTCTTGGGCCCTTTAGCCTATTTCTTGACCCTTTCTTCCCCGTTTCTCTCATTTCTCTCAAACCTCTCTCTCTACACTCTCTCTGTTTATCTTTCATCTCTCTAGAAAACTTCCACAAAACTCACTTCAAATCCAAGCAAATTTATCAAGCTTTTTAATACTAGTTCTTTATACCAAAGCGATGAGCATTCAGAGAGCTACATTTTGAGATCAAATTCCGGCAAAGTTGAATTTTTTGAGCTTTTCTTCTCTTTTTTCCTTGAGGTAAGGATTTCTTTAATTTTTCTTAATATAGTCTGGATAGGTGGTATTTTATATTGTATGAAAACAAGATTTGATTGGAGTTTTTTTGAAATTCATGTAGAAGAGATTTAGGGCTTTGAGTTGTAGTAATGGATATTGTGATTTCTTGTTTAAAATGATAAAATGATGCTTTACTAGAACACTTCATGATGTATAAAAATAGAAAACCCTAATTATTTGTGGTAAAACCCTAATCTTTATGAGTTTATGAAATTGTGAAATTAAATGTGTATATGTGAAATTAATAGTGGGTGTTATTGTTTGAAATCCTTGAAATTGTTGGACATTAATAAAACGTTTATGAAATGCATGAATTAGTACATTTTGGAGAAATTAGAATTGAATAGTTATTCTGAGGAACATTTGGATTTGGAGTTGTAATTTAATGGGATGTTAAGAATTCGAGTAATGATTTGGATTGATGATAAGTCGGGAATTGTCACCTAATGCTTGATGGAATTCGTTGAGAATGTAATATTTATATTGTAATTAGCTATGCCCTATGTTGTCTAGTTTGATCATTGAAATATGGAAAATTGTGGTTGGTATAATGGAATTAAAACTAGGGTTGGCATTATTAATGATATGGTTGAATTGTGAAACTCGGGTGTGTTGTGAGCAATGAAGATAACGGGTGATTTTGGGAAATTGCGAATCCACTATTGATATTGTAATATATAGTTGATTAGAGATATTTGTTTTGGCAATCGATGGAGGATTGCATTACTTGTAGAATGGCTATGGAATTAGGTGAATTGAACCCTTGCGTGTTTTACAATTTTGTTGACTAGTAGGTGATGAAAGTGCTATATAGAGGTCTCAAATTCCTTCTGGTTAGCAGCTGGTAAATTGGTTTACGCTTCAAATGAGAGGTACTAATTTCCTTCTAGTTAGCGCCTGACAAAGTGGGGTGCGCTTCAAATGATGGGTTCCAAGTTCTCTCTAGCTAGCGCTTGGTAAAGTGGTTGTGCTTCAAATGATGAGTTCTAAGCTCCCTCTAACTAGTGCTTGGTAAAGTGGAAGGTTGTGGCTTTGCGAAGTCAGGTTGCCTTATGTGATAGTATTATTTTGTTGAACTACCTATATGTGTCGTGATATGAGGGGTGCACCATTTGCCTTATGTACTAGTGGCCAGTAAAACATGGGAGTACGTGTTGATATTACCATTATGTACTTAGTATAAATGGTGATGGGTGCTTCATTTGCCCTTGTGCTTATGGTTATAAAATATGGTAGATACTTTGAGAATATAGAGATTCTAGTGATTTGCATGATGTGTTGGTTGTTGAGGGTTACTTAATTTACGTGGTTGTATTATTTCTAAGTTGTATAACCGTGAGTTGCTTTGGTTGGAACGTCTTAAAGAGTTGAGAACATTTTGGAAATGATTTTTAAATATCGAAAGTGATGAATTTCTTAAAGCTACTAAGAAACAAATGGAAGGCTAAGGATTTTGATTGTTCCTTGAAATGATAAATAATAGTTTTTGAGAAAAGAGTACCTATGTATATGTTTATTTTGGATATTAAAAAGGGGAACACTATTGATATATGTATTATGTGGAGCATTCATGATCATATACTCATATTGTACTATATTAATTAGAATTATTGGGATTTCTATGGATCATATGCTCATCTCACGTTGTTGATAACTTTTCAGGTGCAGAGTCGAAGATTGTACTTGGAGTTGGAAAGCTCCATTTGTCTTCAGTCTCGGGGCCATTTTATGTATAGGCGGAACGCCATTGTATTTGTCAAGGGTCAAACCCTTTTTGTTTATGTAATTGCAAGCCTAAGAGCATTTTTACCAATTGAAATCCATTGTTACGTCATATGTATAACCGTGAGGGAACTTCTATTGTTTATTTACGATCATGATTGTAGCTTCCACATGTTTATTTATTAAATTAATCGTAATAATGATTGAGGTAATGATAACTGGGTTCTTAAGATACGGGGCGTTACATTACATGTGTCCCCAAATGTGATGACTAATGAATGCAAAAATTTACTTGGTAATCATGGTTTAATCATTGTTTGCTAAACCATATACAAGCACAAGAACTTGGATGGTTCCTTAGTATGCTTACGGATATTGATAATTCAAAGGTATAATTATTACATGGTTTCATAAATCTTTGATTTCATTTGAGTCTAAAAGATTATGATATTGATTGTGGATATAAGTTTTATGTAAAACTATTATTCTACAGAACAATTAGGAATTTTTCCAGTAAAGGTCTCACTGGTTTTCTCACGAGACAATCACTATTTTTTATATTGTTTCTCACAGAAAGTGTGTAACTAAGCACTTGAAAGTGAAGGAAAACATTAACACGTTCAAGCTTTCATGTAAATAATTTTACATGAAATATATTTTTGGGTGCAAACATTTTATATTGAAACTGTGGATGATTGTGTACGGTATGCCAAACAAGTTGATCTGGGAAGATGGTAGGCACTTAGATGGCTGAAGGTGGATGAAGAGAGAGCTAAAGCAATCTTAGAAGAGAGACGGCGGCAATGGAGGTCTTCTATACCATAGAGAGAGAGAGAGAGAGGAAAGGATCTCCTGACAATATCAAGGGAAGTCAACGGATCTTGACAATCTCAAGGGACCAGCGGATCTCTTATGTAATGGATCCTACATGTGGATCTTGGCGATAGTGAGATCCATGAAGATCTTAAGCACACTTGTGATGGCATGTCAATGCCATGTAATGGAGATGAGGTGGAAGAGTTGTAGTTTAGGGTTTGCAGGTATAAGTTAGGGCTGTTAAGGCTTTAGTGGAGAAGATGACAAGGGTATAAATGTCTTTCTATTTTAATTTTACGTTAATTTTTTATTTGAAGAAAAGGTCTACTCGTGAATTTGGTGTGTGTATTGCGAATTCCGTTAGTTTGGACAAATCAATTAATCTTTGTACCACATTCATTTGTTTTAGTGTGTTTCTAATATTTGAATTTTGAAGAAAGAAAACCAGATGGGAAGATAAGGAGCTCTTATTGTCTTTAGTTGGGTGAAAGGGACCACGCTCCCCCTCTGGATATATTTTTGGATTCTTTTAAAGAACTTGGGTTTTTTTTTTGTTTTTTGTTTTATACCCAGCATTAACTATTAAAGAGTGTTAATAGGTATCTGAATCATGTAATGCAGAAGCATGGTCCCATACAATACAGGCCTTTCAAATGTAAGACTCTTATGTTGTGTTTGGTTGGGGGATTTGGGATGGGATTTGGAAAGGGAAAGGGAAAAGTGTGTAAAATTATGTGAAATATAGGCATGATTTATTCACATTTCACCTACCTTTTCCATTTCCCTTTCCAAATCCCTTCCTAAATCTCCCAGCCAAACACAGCATTAGTTTTGTTCGTTTTATACCCAGCATTAACTATTAAAGAGTGTTAATAGGTATCTGAATCATGTAATGCAGAAGCATGGTCCCATACAATACAGGCCTTTCAAATGTAAGACTCTTATGTTGTGTTTGGTTGGGGGATTTGGGATGGGATTTGGAAAGGGAAAGGGAAAAGTGTGTGAAATTATGTGAAATATAGGCATGATTTATTCACATTTCACCTACTTTTTTCATTTCCCTTTCCAAATCCCTTCATAAATCTCCCAACCAAACACAGCATTAGTTTTGTTCTCATATGCATCAGATATCTTGTGGTACAAGTGGTGCCAGGTCAATTCTCTTCTTTCTTTGTGTGTTTGTGCGCACGCACACAATTATAGTAAAATATGGTGCTAATGTAGTTTGGATTTATCTCAAGGAGAGGGAAAGAACTCTGTAGCTTATCTGTTTTGTTTGATCCAAATGCTTATATATATATATATATATATATCTGTGTGTGTGAGCGTGGGCGCATGATATGGATTGTTTTGTTTGACATTTTTCACTTAAAATAGATGTTGAAGTACAAATGAATTTGCTTATGATCTGTTAATTATGTTTAGGCTAAGTTTGGGTACTTTCAAAAAAGTTAAAAAGTCAAAAAGTTACTCAAAAAGTTAAAAAGTTACTCAAAAAGTTAAAAAGTTAACACTATTCACCAAAAGTCAACAATTACGGCTGCACAACTCCCAATTCAAATTTTTCCCTACAAATCAATTTTTACAATTTTTATTACACATTTTTCAATTAAAAAGTCAAAAGTTATACCCAAACAGTCTTTTTCAACCTCAATTTTAGGTCCAATAAAAAAAGTAAAAAAGGGAAAAGTGCCACTTTTTTTAGTCTTCCCAAACTTGGCTAGTGTTGCTGAACACAAGTTTATGAGGATAGTCCAGTGGTGTGGGCCTTGACTCCCTGCTCATCTGCTTGGGTTCGAACCTCAACCTCTCCTCCCGCTCTTCCTCAGGATAATATAATATCTGATTATTTGAATGTATCGGGAAAAAAAAAAATGTTGAGCCATGGTTGAGTAAAAAATAGGTTTGGTACTAAGATTGTCTCTGCTATTCCAGAATTTGTTTTAACAAGGCTATAATTTTGACAGAATTATGAAGTGTTCTATCTTAAGATCTGCTGGGTGAAAAGGGTGGATTCTCTGCCAAGGATTGTTTTAGTGAGGTTTCGTGCACCAACAGTTCCCAAGTTTTTGAATGAAGATATGTCAATTCCAGTGATGGGAGTTTGGCAACTCTGTAATTGCAAATGATGTGTTCAAAGTTAAAAGGGATATTCTACTTGGGGTGTGCATTATATGCCCCTAATTACATTCTTGGTAGTATTTGGTTATGACTTATTAGCTTGTTAGTTATGACTTGATTATGATTTGATCATATATATTCTGATATTAGTTACGACTCATTGTTATGTTAGTTATGACATTATTTTAGTAATGGTTCAAGGGCTCTTTGATTTTACATTATGTGATGTTTGGTTATTTGTTAAGATTCCTATAGAATTGAGTTATAACATCTGTGATAACCAACTCCCCACTAATATCATAACTTGCGTATAGTATATACCCTTTTGAGGACTTGTACCACATCATTACCAAGTCACACTAAAAATATTTGAACTTTGATCCTACCTAGTTGCTAGGTAACCATGGGATCATGATTGGTTGAGCCATCTCAATTTTTTATTTTTATTTTTATTTTTATTTGTTTTGAGAACAATCTATCTCATAAATGAAAAATGATGGGAAGCTCTAATTGTTCACCCCTAATCCTCCACATCAAAGCTCTAATTAAGCACTTCTAATCCATCCCTAATGATGTAGAATGGATCCCATTACCCACTCCTCACTTCTCATCCTTCCTCTCTCTATCTCTCTCTATTATCTCTTTCTTCCACCTCATTAGAGGTCAAAATAGGGGTGACATATTACGGGATGTAGTACCACTTCTCATTAATGGTCTTCTTTCTTATTTTTGATTTGTGAAAACTTTTTTTTAAGGGTAAATTACAAATACATCACTGAGGTTTGTTTAAAATTTGAATCGACACTTGTGGTTTGGAAAATTACAAATATCCCCATTTTATAATATTTTATTTAATAGAACTATTAAAAAAATGAAATTCCTAATTACTCTACTATACAAGAATAAAATTACATAAATTATTAATTAAAATAAATATTTGATATCATTGAAAGCTGTTAATTGACTTGATGATTTATTAATAAAATGGGCCATTCACTATGAAATTAGATACTTCAAGGAGCGTGATATAATTTTTAGAATCACAGGGAGCAATTCGTATTTTAAGCAAACTTCAGGAAGTGTATTTGTAATTTATCATTTTTTTAAGAGAGTAAAAGAAACTGCGGACAATTACAAACAAAAAAAATTTAGGATTTGAGTTTTCTAATAAAATAAACTCTAAGCTTTTCAATTTCAATATTAATCTTTTGATTTATTTTCAATTTAAATCATTTGCCTATTTTTGTTAAGTAAAATCGATAGAAAAAGAGTATTATAATTATTAAACTCAATGTAGATACACATAAATTGTCTCAAATATCATTTTTTATTGAGTTTAATTACTAAAATTTTCATTTTTCTATCGATTTTACTTAATAAAAACAAGCAAATGGTTTAAATTAAAAATAAATTAAAAGTTTAAGATTTAAATTGATAAAATTAAAATTTAGAGTTTATTTTGTTACAAGAGTCAAATCTGGGGTTTTGGGTAACTTCTCCAAGAAACTAATATTATTTTTTTTATAGATAAATTATTAAGCAGTTATATTAACATAAAAGTAAACAATATACACAAAAAAAAAGACCATAAAGGGCCAAACAACTTAACAATAACTACAAACAACAAATTACAAAGCCATAGAAGAAAAAAAAAAATCTACGATTCAGGAGCATCACTAATCTTCTTACAAATGTGGTTTGGAAAAGAAGATCTAGATCAATATAAAGCCCAAACTTGTTATCGTTGTTGACGTCGTCTCTATCGTCACTGCCCAATTCCGCCACTATTGTCATTGTAGTTCAATCACCGTTAGAAACCAAGTTGAAGAAGAAGAACATCCCACAACAATAAGGAAGGAAAATTGAGAGAAGAGGAATGTAGGCGTCAAAAATCTACGCCAAAAATCAGTAGAGAAACTTTTAAACCCCTCTTCTTAGGCATAAAAAAAACCTAATATAGACACCCCATGCCTTTAAGACTTGGGCACCTCATGGTGAACACTTAATGATGAATTAGTACGCTGTACAAACCGTTTAATTTCTTCAGTAAAGAGCTTCGATTTTGAGTTTCAAAGCCTAAAACCTTGCACCTTCTTTGGACCAAAACCTATTTTTTCTAGCCTGACCACTCAGAGATCTGCTGGCCAACAAGTGGTCGGCAGGCCAATTTTATTGGCCGGTCGTCCCCTTTCATGGTCGGCCGGCCAGCCATATTTCTCGGCAGGCAGATATTTGTTGCCAACTGTCCCCCCCATGTGCATGCCTTGCACCAGTTGGCTCCATACAAATATTTCT